AAAAAATTGGAGATGAAGACCGTATTAACAACGAATTGAAACAACCTGAAATAATTGAAATAGAATCTTTATCTCCAGGCGAAATTGGTATAGATAGATTAAAACATATGTTTCATGATAGGTAAGTACGTTTTCTGATATACAAAATCAACTATTATTTTTAATAGTATTAATTTCAGTTTTTGATTATTAACGCAGGAACGGTAATATATCCAATGAAGTTCAATCTATTGTGAGTGCCACAGTTGCAGGTGTAATAGGAGGATTTATTTATGGTGGGGTAGCAAAAACAAAAGATATACCAACAAATTTTATAAGGGAGAATCAAGCTACAAAGTGGGAGAGCACTTTCTATGCAAAGAGACAATTACACAATACATATGCTTTGGAATTTTTCAAAAAGGGTACACGTATTGGCTTATCAGCAGGAATCTTTTGCTTCTTATTTCAGTAAGATGATTTTTGTAAGTAATATCTATAATAAAACACTTGTATAAATATAACTGCATTTAAAGTTTTTTACTAGGAGCACATCAGTTATGATGTATGTATATAGAGGCAAATTTGAGATAATCAATTGTACAGCTGCTGGGGCTTTGACAGGAGGTCTGCTTAAAATCGATATGGGAGTTAAAGGAACAATGGCAGGTACAATTATTGGTAGTCTATTGGGCAGTATTTATGGTGCAGTGGCAAAGCTACTATTGTACATTACTGGAGCTGAGCTAAGTGACTTGTATGAAATACATTTCCGACTCATGCAAAAGAGACGAGAGTAAGTATTTGCAGTCTCATAATTTTCAAACTAATAACTTTAATTTACTTTAAACTAATACTTATTTTACAGTAATTTAAAATATGCATCTACAACTTACATGAACGATGAAATAATAAAGCTTAGAGAGAAGTATGTAGAAAATAAGCTACTGCAAGAAGCAGCCAAATCTCAAGAAAAATCAGAGTAACATATTACTAAAAAGAACTGTACTTAGAATGTGAATAAATATGTATCATTGTTTTATTTATTTAATAATTCTCAAACAACATAGATTATATAATATATCGAATACAACAAAAAAATACTGCAATTTTTACTTATATCACTGAATATTTTGGATATTTAAAATTATCTAATTTCATAAAAAAAAAAATTCATTAATTAAGTATGATTTGAATGTACAGGCTGGTGAACGTGCAAATGGGAACACCTAAATGGGTTTTTCTATAGATATATGAAGAAGCTAAGATTTNTTTAATCAATAATTGAATTTTTATTTAAATTATTTTTCCATATATCTATAAACAAGAGAAATTTTGAATAGTTGTTCCCATTCATGTATAAAAAATAATCCCATTGCATTCTATCCTGTACACACATACATATATACATATATCTCATCATTATTACAAACTATCCTTATTTACATCTTTATGCATTAAAATGGACAAATATAATATAAATAATATTTAATGTAGTTTATAATCACGTTTACAAAATAGGCCTGATGCTTAAGTAAAATCAATAAATTCTAATTCAAAATCATACAAAAGAAATCATTTTTGTATTGAAAAGATAATACTTTTTGATTGACAAATATAAGAAATAAAAGATGACACATTTATATTGCTCTCAACGAAAGAACAATGCATGTATAGTATACATGCGCACGTGTGTATAAATGAATTAGTGTACGTACACACACACACGCACGCACACATACAATCATATATATATATGTATACATCTGCAAGGTATTCAAAAGAAGCATTCTATATTTGTATATTATATAGGACACATTAAAGTGAGTGAAAATCCATAATAAGCATAGGTCAAAAGGAGAACCGTTTCTGAGATAAAAATATATGTATTTACTACCATCAGGATTGACTTACTATTGTTTTTTCGTAACTGAATCCAACATGTTTGTCAAATAATTTGTCAGAGATATGCAATTTTCGAAGGAGTTCGCAATTCTGTGAGAAGTAGATGCTAAGCGTGTATAGAAATGAAAGGAGTATCCGTGTAAAATGTATAAATATCGAAGTTAGTTAATATTAATATCGAAGTTAAGACAATTATGATGCTAGTAAATAAAAATATTTATATCTCAGGAACGGTTGATCTTTCGACCTATGTTTACAAAGGCTTTTTCACACTCAGTACAGTATGTCCTATATATCATACAAATATTGAATGTTTTTTTTGTAAACCCTATATATATTTGTATGTACGTATGTATGCATGTATGTGTGAGCACGCGCGCGCGCGCGTGTGTATACATATCTATTTAACTATCTTGATCTGAAGTTCCTAAATCTTGAATCTTGGTTAAACGTTTTGCACCTCTGCCTGGTGGACCCTTAGGCTTCGCAAATTTTGGCTGATGCAAACTGATTTTTGGATGTAACTCCTCTTGTAAAAATCCCTCGGTTAGTTCACTTCCATCATCTATTTCAAGCTATGCAATCAACACATTTTAAAAGAATAATTATTATAATACAGACAAAAGCAGAAATGTATTGCTGAATTTGTAAACACAAGGAAACAAATTGAGCAGCTTGAAAAAAGAAAAAAAATATTGCGAAACAAATTTTGTAAATGCACAGGCCTATTCTGTAAGATAACTGAAATGTATTTGTAAATCTTAATTGTAATTACATACCCATCCAAGGATTGACTCACCGTGTACTCCTTACAGGCCTATTCTATTTGGATAAACCATGATCGATGATAATACAAGAAAGAGAAAAGTAGAAATTTGAATAGATATCGTTCAATATCAACTTGTTGAAAATTAAAACAACAACAACCTGTTAGATTAAATTACATAATGCTTTATTGTTTGTAGCGATTTTAGTATTGGCAAGATATACAATTTTTTTAATCATAATAAACCTATAATTACGTATTAACAGAATGAAAATAAAATTATACTAGAAACTTACAGAATAGGCCTGGTACAAGATTATAAAGCCTGTCCAGACTGTAATGTGCGTTATTATGTAACGTGGACCACATACAATACAAGCAAAAGTGTATGTACGCACAGCATATCTCTTGGATGTGATGATCGTGCTACCAATTCTTTATAACTTACTTACTTTGTGTGATCGTAACTACAAGGGAAATCTAAGTAACACTATTTTCACATATGTTTACGATACACGGAATATTTTACAAAGATAAGAACTTGATGCAACATTTACAATTTTGCACTTTAACATTCTTATAGAATTGTAGTCTTAAATTAACATTTTGCCTATGGGGTAACAATTGGTACTTGTTAATAGTTTCATTCCCCTACCACCTACCTCATTTTTAATCTGTGTCTAATGAAATGTGCAAAACTGTAAACATTGTGTTACAGTCCTACTTTTGCAACATATTCTGTATATTATAATCATAAATAAAAATATATTACTACATATTGCTAATTACATTCACCTTGTAATTACAATCATTCACATTTAACTGAGTTAAGAAATTGGTAGCACAATCAAGATTTTTATGAGACGTGCAATGTGTGTATAAAATTTTGCTCGTTACTGTATTCATTAACGGTTATTGAGCATTTTGAAAAGATTCTTTCTTTTGTATACTCTTTCTTCTGGAACTACTACATAAAAATGTTTGCCAAATTCTACATGTTTTCTATATACATAAATGCATGTATAATAGAGCAGTGCAGAGGAACATAAAGTAGAATAACTTGTTCTAGATGAGTCACATAAAGCTAAACTAACAAACGATGAGTATGTACGTTATGATTCCAATTATAAATGAATTCTCTATATCTTGGAAAATCTCATATGTCAAGCTCGACTTTCATGTCAGCATATACATGTCTTGAAGAGAATAAGCATAACTTAACTTTTTTTTTTTAAATATATAATTGTAAAAAACGAGGTGTATTTTCTTTTCTATTCATCTCTTTCAAATATTTTTTAATGAAATAAATGCTATACATTTGGCGCACCTCGCTATCATTACACTAATTCAAATTAGGCCAAACTCTCATGCTAGTAATTTGTTTTTTTTTCTGTGTGTGTATTTGACAACAATTTTTCAAAAGTTTATAAAAAGCTACGAGAGTTAAAAAAATACAGATCAGAAAAAATAGAATGTTTCTCGAATAATTTGTTGCTGGCAATTAGATTATATAGTC